CCAGTTTTGCTATACGGTAGCGAAACCCTGGACATTGTCCTGTGGCCTTGGAGGCTCGTCTTGAAGCCTTTTGCAATAGGTCCTTGCGCCAGATCATGGGGTACTGTTGGCGGGACCATGTGTCCAACAACGGTTGCACCGTGAGACTGGCACAAGCCCTGTTATCTGCACAATCCGTGATCGCCAACTCAGGCTATACGGCCACCTGGGCTCGCTTTCCTCAGGATGAATCCTGCCCATACAGGTCGTCTCTATTCGAGACAACCTGGGGGTGGAGAGGCTGTGGGACGACCGAGGAAGTCATGGCTTGGGCAGATCGACCAAACTGCCGTGAAGAAACTAGAGATGGGCACGAGTCCTGCCTGGCGTCTAGCCATGAGGGATCTCTTAGGTGGAAGCGAAGGGTGGATGCGGCTATGCGCCCCCGTCGGCGTCAGCCCCATGATGATGATGATGATGATATATTTCATATATATATATATATATTATAGTATATATTATATATATATATATATAATATATATATATATATTATATATATATATATATATATATATATATAATATATATATATATATATTAATATATATATAATAGTATATATATATATATATATATATATAATATATATATAGTATATATAGATATATATATATATATATATATATTATATATATATATATATATATATATATATATATATATATATATATATATATATGGGAGTGCATCTATAATATATATATATATATATATATATATATAATATATATATATAATAATATATATATATATATATAATATATATAATTTGTGAATATAGTTAAATAAACGTTCACTTACTCTTTCAGCTGGAGAGTTTTGACGAGGTGTCGGGGTTCTGCTGCGTTGTCGACGAGTCGGTCCCTCTGCTGAACTAGTCGGTCCCTGAGTGTGTCGGTGGGGGTGTTCTGTCGGTCGACGTTGCTGGTTCTGCGTCGTTTGGTGGCACTAGTTGTCTCTGTTTGAGATCGCAGGTTCCTGGCGTCGTTTGGGTGCTGTTGTTCTCTCTGTTTAGATTGCAGTTTCTGGTGTCGTTGGTGCACTGTTGTTCTCTCTTTGTTGAGATTGCAGTTCTGGTGTCGCGTTGGTGGCACTGTTGAGTCCCTGTTGAGATCGAGGTTTCTGGTGTCGTTGGTGCACTGTTTCTCTCTGTTTGAGATTGCAGGTTCTGGCGTCGTTGGTGGCACCTTTTGTTCTCTCTGTTGAGATTGCAGTTTCTGGTGTCGTTGGTGGCACTGTTATTCTCTCTGTTGAGATGCAGTTTCTGGTGTCGTTGGTGGCATGGCACTGTTGTCTCTGTTGAGATTGCAGGTTTCTGGGGTTGGCGTCCGTCGGTGGCACTGTTGTCCTCTGTTGAGATTGCAGGTTCTGGCGTATTGGTGGGCACTATGATTGTCTTCATGTTGAGATCCTGCAGTTGCTGGCGTCGTTGGTGGCCACTGTTGTGCTCTGTTTGACAGATTGGCACGAGGTTCTGGAGGCGTCCGTTTGGGCAACTGCTTGTTTCATCCTGCGTGATTGAAGATGCAGTTTCTTGTGTCGTTGGTGGCACTGTTGATTCGTCTCTGTTGTGAGAGAAGTTGCAGTTTTCTGGTGTCGTTTGGTGGCACTGAGTTTTTGTCTCCTGTTGAGAGATTGCAGGTTTTCTGTTGGACGTGTCGTTGTGCACTGTTGTTCTCTCTGTTGAGATTGCAGTTTTCTGGTGTCCGTTGGTGGCACGTGTGTTCTGCCTCTCTGTTTGAGATTGCAGTGTTCTGTGTCTTGTTTGGGATCCAGGTTCACACTGTTGTCTCTGTTGAGATTGCAGGTTTCTTGGCGTCGTTGGTGGACTGTTGTTCTCTCTGTTGAGATCGCAGGTTCTGGTGTCGTTGGTGGCACTGTTGTCTCTGTTGAGATTGCAGGTTCTGTCGGCTTCGGGTTGGTGGCACTGTTGTCATCTCTCTGTTGAGATGGAGCAGGTCTGGTGTCTTGGCGTGGCACCTGGTTCTCTCTGTGGAGATTGGCAGGTTCTGGCGTCGTGTGGTGCAGCTGTTGTTCTCTCTGTTTGAGATTGCAGGTTCTGGTGTTGTTGGTGGCACTGTTGTCTCTGTTGAGATCGGCAAGGGTTCTGGCGTCCGTTCGAGGTGGCACTGTTTGTATTCTCCTCTGTGTTATGACGATCCGAGCAGTTTCTGGTGTGTTGGTGGGCAAGTGTCTGTTCTCTCCTGCTGTGAAGCAAGACTCCTTGCTAAGTTCATGGCGTGCAGTTGGTGGCACTGTTGGTCTCTGTTGAGATTCGCAGGTTTCTGGGCGTCGTTGGTGCGCAGTGTTAGTTGTCCATCACATCATGGTCTAGAGTCATTGCAGTTTCTGGTATCCATCGAGTTGTGAGGCACTGATTCTTCTGATGCACGATTGCCAGGTTCTGGCGTCCGTCGGTGCACTGGTTCGTGCTTCTGCTCTGAGATTGCAGGTTCTGGCGTCGTTGGTGGCACTGTTTGTCTCTGTTTGAGCATTGCAGTTTCTGGCGTCGTTGTGGCACTGTTTGTCGTCTGTTGAGAATTGCAGGTTCTGGTGTCGTTGGTCGGCACTGTTTCTCTGTTGACGATTGGCAAGCGTTCTGGCGTCGTTGGTTGGCACTGTTTGTCTCAATTGAGATTGCAAGTTCAGTTGTCGTTGGTGGCACTGGTTGTTCTCTCTGCTTGACGGATTCAGTTTCCTGCGTGTCGTTGGCTGCCTGTTGTTCTCTCTGTTGAGATTGCAGTTTCATGGTCGTCGTTGGTGCCGCAGCTAGGTTGCTTTTCTTGGTTGAGATGGCAGGTTTGCTGGTGTCGTTGGTGGCATACTGTTGTCTCTGTTGAGATTGCAGGGTTCTGGCGTTCGTCGGTGGCACTAAATTGAGTCTCACTGTTGGAATTGCAGGTTCTTGCGCGTCGTTTGGTGGCTACTGTTGGCTTCTCTGGTTTTGAAGATTGCAGGTTCTGGCGTCGTTGGTGGCTAACTGTTGAGTCTCTGATTAGAGATATTGGGCCCAGGTTCTCGGCCGTACTTTGGTGGCCCTGTATGTTACTCTCTGTTGATAATTTGCAGGTTCTGGCCGTCGATTAAAACGCCACCTGTTTGATTTTTCTCTGTTGAGCAATTTGCAGGGCGAGGTTCTGGTGTCGTTAATGGCACTGTCCTCCTTTCTGTTGCAAGTATATGCAGTTGCTGGCGTCGCTTGGTGGCAACTGTTTGTTTTCTCTGTTGAGATTTGGCAGGTCTGCCTGGTGTCACGTTGGTAGCCACTGTTGTTCTGCATCTGTTTGAGATCTGCAGGTTCTGCGTGTCGTTGGTGGCCCTGTTTTTGATCTCTGTTTGAGCAATTGGCAGCGTTTTTCTGACGACGTTAGTCGGCAACTTTAGTTCTGTCCGTTGCAAGCACTGTTGCAGGTTCTGGGCGTCGTTGGTAGGGCACCTGTTTTTCTCATCCTGGTTGAGATTGCAGGTTCTGGCCGCGGTCGTTGGTGGCATTGTTGTTGCTCTCCGTGATGAGATCAGGTTCTGAGTGTCGTGGTGGCACTGTTTTTCTCTTTGCTGTTGAGATTGCCAGGTTCTGTATCGAGTTGGTGGGCAGCTGTTTTTTGTTCTCTCGCGCCGTTGAGAAATCTGGCAGGTTCCTGGTGTCGTTTGGTGGGCACTGTTGTTCTCATTCTGTTGAGATTAGCAGGTTCTGCGTCGTTGGTGGCACTGTTGTTGCTCTCGCTGTTGAGATTGCAGGTATCTGACGTATGCGTTGTGCGCCACTGTTGTTTCTCTATCCAGTTGAAGATCGACGACTTTCTGGCGTCGTTGTGGGCACTGTTGGTTTCGGCGCCGTTGTTGAGAATTGAGCAAGGTTCTGATCGTTGGTGGCACTGTTGTTCTCATCCGTTGAGATTGCAGGTTCTGTCGTCGTTGGTGGCACTGTTGTTTCTCTCTGAGATGAGATTGCAGTTCTGTCGTCGTTGGTGGCACTGTTGTTCTCTCTGTTGAGATCGCAGGTTCTGGTGTCGTTGTGGCACTGTTGTTTTTTCTCCGTGTGAGATTGCAGTTCTGGCGTTCGTTGGTGGCACTGTTTGTTCTCTCCGTTGAGATTGCAAGTTCTGTGCGTCGTTGGTGGCCCTGTTGTCTCTGTTAAGATTGCAGGTTCTGGCGTCGTTGGTGGCACTGTTGTCTCTGGTTGGATTGCAGTTTCTGGTTGTCGTTGGTGACACTGTTGCTCTGTTGAGATTGCAGTTCTGGCGTCGTTGGTGGCGCTGTTTGTTCTGTCTGTTGAGAATTGCAGGTTCTGGCGTCGTTGATGGCACTGTTGTTCTCTCCGTTGAGATTGCAGGTCCTGGCGTCGTTGGTGGCACTGTTGTTCTCTCTGTTGAGATCGCAGGTTCTGTTGTCGTTGGTGGCACTGTTGTTCTCTCTGTTGAGATTGCAGGTTCTGGTGTCGTTGGTGGGGACTGTTGTTTTCTCCGTTGAGATTGCAGGTCCTGGCGTTGTAAGTTCCGTTGTAGCTGGTTTGCTTGTCCTCTCCGTTAAGGTTGTATATGCTGCAGTTGTTTTTCCGTTGAAGTTGTAGATTCTATTGTTTTCTCTGTTGAGGTTGCAGGTACTGTAGATTCTGATTCCGTTGTTCTCCCCACTGTGACCATTGGCTCTGTTGCATTTATATAGATTAGATATGTGAATATTTTATTTGATATTAGATATGCACATATTGGCACAGGCAGTCCAGCTGGTCTCGTCTCAAAACACTTTATTGATATGATTAATATCATTAAAATGCTATTCAACTATCAGTAAAGTTATTGCCTTCTTTAATATACTACTTTACACAGTTTAATCGCGTAAATAATGTTGGCAATAACTTAATTTCATGAAAGCCAAGAAGGTAATAGGCATGTTTTCACTTTGTTGTATAAATCAACCATAAATTGCGTCATTGGGAAACCTCATCCAATCAACTCCTGGTATGCGTGGCTCTAGGGGAAGGGGAAGGAAGCATGTTTCGTGCACAGGTGGCCCACAATGAACATGCTAAGATCCTCTTCATATCATTTGACAATTATCACTGCTTCCACTCAGAATCGTTCATCCCTGTGCTTGACTTTACATGAATTTATAACACAAGAAAGTAGTATAATTCAATAATAGTACAACCATCCCCTATATGAAAACATATTGATTAACTCGTCCATGCCTGGTCGAAAAGTGCAGACCCGCACTCATCTCAGGCTCCTCAACAGATCCTACAAACAATCTCATGAGGTAGAGGATTCTTTAGCGAATCGGTGCGGCCAGAATGTTTCTTATTTAAACAGCTAATGTGATGCTGTATATTTGATAAAATAGACAGACGTTTTCCGTCAGATTAAGTCTGGTAACGTACTTAGTGTGGCCAACCACTAGTAGACAAAAGCAACCAAATAAATAAATAAATAAATAATAATAAAAAAAATAATAATAAATAAATTAAAAATAAAATTAAATAACTACATGAACGGCTGTTGGGGGAAATGAAGAATGCATGTTCCGCGTATTGACGGTCGACATTGTAATATACTAAGGCCCTGTTCATGACATATGTCGGCTCTCCCTGTTCCACTCAGACTTGTTCATCCCTGCGGTTGATTTGTGTGATTGATATCACATGGTATAAGTCCATGAGAAAGTAGTATAAAAAATAAAAAAAAATCAATAGCAGGGAGAGTAGTTAAGATTAACTTAACGATTATTGCCTGGTCCTTCATGTCTGGTCAATAAGTACAGATCTGGACTCATCTACATCCCATTTACAATTCCGTTAAAGGAGCCTGTGGAGCTTCGGATTCCCTGGTGAATCACTTTTGCTGTGTGATTGGTGCATCCAGAATGTTCCCAATTTAATCATGCAATATAATGCTGGGTTTTCTTAACGAAAATAGTCAGACATCATTAGGTCTGAAAAACGGTCTTAATGTGGCGAAATGCTTACACTTGATAGAGTAAAGGGTAGAAGCAGAGCCAGTACACGATCGAACTTACGCCATGTCTTATACAGCTAATGTTAAAAACAGATTTTGCGATAATAACATTGATGATTATTTTATGTAGAGGTGTATATTCCTTTTTTTCTCTCTCTCTTTGGTGTGTGTGTGCGTGTGTTGGTGCGTGAGTGTGTGTGCATATATGTGCATGCATGTGCTTTTAAACTGAAGGAGGCTAAATGTAAGTTTATGAATGTTATCAGGAATTCTGGAAGATGCTGCAAGTCGATATAATTTTCGTACACAGGTGTACTTTTTCTGGATTTTAGCTTGCATACCAAAGTGAAGCTTTCGTACCCAGATGTGAGAGTAAGGATCAAAGGCGATGGCTCACACCAGTTCACCTCTACATCCATTTAGCACCGACATCTGTCCAGGAAATCTAATTGCATCAGCAGTGCATTTTATATCTCACCATCAAGGTGTTGACAAGATGCAGAATCGAAATTGCCCTTCAGATATATGCAGAAAAAGATGAAGTTTAAGCAAACAAATATATCACAAGTATATCATTGGCAGAAGAATAGAAGAAGGCTGTGATACTTTTTATTCGTTCTTATTCCAAACTGAACTTGGATGAGAATTTCAGAGAGCTGTCTCTCTGAAGAAATGGTGAAGTACGGTTGATTCTACCGCAAACAAGTCACAAAAACACATATGTTTAATCTAAAACATAAAAATACATAACTAATGTTATGATGAAATTAACTGGTTAAGATGATATTTGGAACCTACAGGATAGAAAATAATAACACTAATAAGTACTGCAAAATACGAGCTGAAATTTTGTAATTACATGCTGATTCCAGTTGCTGTGCGTGAGTATGAATCCAAATGTTGAAAGATGTGGTGCAGCTATTAGAAAGAAAGACTAGTCTTTTATTTTACTTTCTCCCCAGTATTTCATATATTTCGAATTCTAAAAGAGGTCAATCATTCACATCCTGAAGTAGAAAATTTCAAGGAAATCTTTATTTTACTGTACAATCAAATTAAAGATTTCGCTATTAGGATTTACATGTTTGTGGCAACAAGTGGCACAAAGAACAAACTGCGATAAGAACAACGAAAGGAAGGATAAGAAAACACACGCATATTTGTATTTTCTTGTTCTTCACTTCACTTCCTGTTGCACATAGAAAGCTGCATGCTTGTTCCCACTGATAGTCTGTCCTCAACTGAGCACCTTAGTAAGTAAAGAAACATATTTTTTAATGTATGCTTGGCATCCGAAATATGATATATTGGGTTAATGCTGTTATATCCAAAGTTTTTTTAATGCTTATTTCGAACTTATCTTATGGTGCATCGTGCTTACATGTCTTTAGAGGATATATATTTTGAATTTTATCCTGTAGATCACAGTATTACATCAAGACAAACTTTCATTGTTGACACTAATTAGTTTAACCTTATATTTATGAGTATCTATAATTGCACATACACATTCACACATACTAAATTACTTCATAGTATCAAATTTTCTGGTCATTTTATCTTACCAGTAAAACAACGCAAGTGAGAAAAAGTCCACTTCCACCCACCCTGAGTGAGGTAATAAGTCTAAGCTCATGGATTTAGTCATAGTCTAGTATGACAAATTTTTACTTTGCACAATTGATGTTCAAGCTGAAGTAACTTAATACTTCCAAGATACACATATAATGTAACGTATTTTGCCCCTCTCCTAAGAGAATAGAAAAAATGTATACAAAAGATCACCACATGCGAATGCGAATGCCTCGTATCTCTGTGGCAGAGGTACAGGAATGGAACAGGAGCATATCGCGTGAGTGATGAATACATCAAATTTGTATTTTTCCTTCGCTCTAGTGAGGCTCAGGTCCTGCACATCATTTTTAGCATAGAGTTGTATGTGGTGCTTGGCTATGATAGGAAGTTAACACTAACATCTTTACATGATCTTCTTAAATTGTGCCATTCTCTGTTGGTTGGTGATAGGGGTGGCCTGGAGGACACCGAAGTGGTCCAACTCGAAAAGTTCCATTTTCTATTCTTTTGATGCAAAATAATTGTAATTTATTAAGATTTAAATCCACACAAATGAAAATTGAAGTGCCATATGGCCAAGGAATCGATGATTCATTTTGTGGACTTTAGCTTTTGAAAGTATAATCCCGTGAAAAAAAAATAATAATACTCTACAAGCGCTTCAATTCGGCCGTTTGGGTGTTTCTTACGAACCGGAGCTGTAGGAGATATATTTAATCTTTTCATGCTGCTAACAACTACTTTATATAAGTATTAAAGTCCACATAATGAAAATGAATTATCTGGCCTCGTAATTCAATGATTGAGCACAATTTCAAGTCTCTCCTTTTTGGTTTCTGCATACAAATTTAACTCGCTGAATCAACTTTGTTGAATCAACTCTGTAAACATCCACGAAGCCAATCTTCATTTCCACACAAACCAAGAACAGGATTCATTCTGAAACAGGCCAAATCCTAACTC